AGCCTGAGCGGAGCTGATGGGCAGGAAGGGGTGAGCATCTGTGTTCCCTGCAGAGCCCAGCCGGGTCTCCTGTGAAAGATCCTGGGTCAGAGAAAGCCATTGTGCTTCTGCCTGGCTATGTTCTGCTCTGAGACTCAGTTTCCCTACTGTGCTTTGGGGTTGCTGAGCCCCTCCCAATGAGGTGGCCCATTGTGTCATCCCCCACCCCCACCCACCCCCCAAGGAACCTGCATTTGGAAAGTGTCTTGACACCGCAAATCCCAGTGAGTGGAGGGGGCAAAAGAGGGCCCATGGGAGGCAGCAGTGGAGGCTGGGTAAGGGCCCAGGTTCCCGGGCCGGACACACACGCACCCCGCCCTCAGCCCCAGTGTCGGGCTCTGCGATGGAGATCGTGGGTCACAGCGGGGTTTAGGGCCCAGCACTGGCTGCTTAGCAAGGAGCAGTCAGGGCTGGGGATGCGTCTGCTGCCTGAGTCGAGGGGCCAGAGCCCCTTCCGACTCCCCCAGCTGCCTCGTCTCCTTCCCTCCTCCTGGCCTGGGTCCAGCAGCTCAGTTCATATGCCTTCCTCTCTGGGAGGGGCTCCGCTTAAAGAGGTAGCTCCCTCCCCCCAGCCCTAAAGGTAAGCTGGGCTGTGTGTAGGGGCAGGGTCCTGCGAGGTAAGGTGGAAGGACTGTGACCTCAGGTGGCCCCATTCTAGGTGCACATCCTTTTCCCGGCCCACCAGCAAGCAATGGCTTTGTCCAAGGCCGGGGGTGGGGGTGGGGGAAGCAGGGGGAGCTAAACTACGTGCAGAGACGTACAGCTGCCAGGTCAAGGCCGGTTGACCCCTAGTCCCTCACACCACTCTTCGACTCTTTCCAGACAAGATGTCCGGCAAAGGCTCCGTGGTCCTGGCCTACAGTGGTGGCCTCGACACCTCCTGCATCCTCGTGTGGCTGAAGGAGCAAGGCTATGACGTCATTGCCTACCTGGTGAGGCGGAGTCCCTCCCTTCTTTTGCCACCTGTGGCCAGTCCTGACCAGCGCCCAGCTGGCTGGCTCCAGTATCCGCCCCCTCCCCCCTCCACCGCTCCCTTGCCTTGACTTTGAGAGAGCAGCTTCACAGTGCATTCCCTCACGTTCTCCGTCTGCAAAATGGACACTTCCTCGTCCCTCAGGACTGGGAGGAGGCCAGATCCTCTGTGGGTGACCCCAGGGCAGGGTGGGGAACCCTTTTTTTTCTCCCCTGCCAAGGGCTATTTGGATTGTTCTAACCTCTTTCGAGGGCCGTACCGTATGATCGACTGAAAAATTAACCTGCAATATTAGGTCAAACATTTCATTAACTTCACCCTGATGTGCTGGCTGGAGCTACTTCACTTTGGGGAGCCGTGTGATCTTATTGGATATTGTTGATTTCAGAGGCCAGAGGTTCCCGACCCTTGCCATAGGGGGGTGGGGCATGGGAGTGGTCTTGGCAGTGCTGCTGGGCCAGCCTTCCTGGGGAGTGGCCAGAACGTAGGTCTGAAAGCCACAGAGAAAACCTATCGGCTTCCTTTCCCCGCCCCAGGCCCCCAGCCCCACGGAATTCAGTAGAGATTGCCAAATCCCACTGTGACTGAGCTGAAAACCCTTCTGCGTGAAATGACAGGTTCTGGAGTTGAACTGCAAGAACGTTTAACAAAGACCCTAGTCCTGGAGGAAACCACAGGGATGCAGCCAGGAGGCGGATCACGCTAGAGGAGGAGCTAAGGACATACTTCCCTGAAGAGGAATTGTGTAGAACCTAGAGCCCTTGAGAGACTTCATTGCAGGGGGCGGGGCAGGAATAAGTTCGGGAAGGTTGTTATTTAAGCTAAGACAGATGCTTCTAAGGCAGGGGGATATTTGTGATTGGGCCGCCGGGCCGTGAGAGGGTTCTCGGCTTCCCCTGAAAGGAAATCTCAAGTGAATGTGGGTTTGGAAAGTTCCGGTGAGGGAAGGTCCGTAATTCGGATGGAAGCACCTGGGACTGATCTAAAGCGGTCAAGGTGTCTTCTGATTGGCATGGGTAATAGACTGTGTGGGTTGCCTTTCCCCGGTCCAGGGTCCGTGGCAGACATCACTAGTCAAATGAACTCTTCTGATGCCTCTGGGTGGGCACAGCCTCTGAGCCTTTTGCCACTTGGCTGTGCTGTTCTTGACTCTTGGTGCCACATCCTGGAAGTCCAACTCAAGCTGGCTTGAGAAAAAAAGAGAAGAAATGAACAAGATAGTCTTGGGTTCGTGTCCCGGGCTGAGAAGTCCACCGGTGTATCTAGCTTCAGGCTAGGCTGGATCCAGGTGCTTCTCCGGGATCTCTCTCCATCTCCTTTTGACTTCCTTGGCCTCTCCACATGGCAGATAAGACAGCTGCCAACAGCTCCAAAGTCACCCTGGCCTAACCTTCCCAGGAAGAGGAGGCTTCCCCAGTGGCTCTGGTGTCAGGACCCACAAGGACCCCTGTTGGCCTATCAGAATCAGTGTCCACCCGATACCAGTCACTGTGGTTGTGATGTGGGAGGCTCTGATTGGGAAGGGAGGAAGGGATGTGATCCCCACATCTTCCATGCCGAGCAGGATCTCCCCAGGAGAGAATTGATTATTCTCAGGGAAGCTGGGGACTGGGCTCCAAGCAGACAAATGGCCAGTGGTTTGTCTGCAGCTGAAGTTCATGTGCCCTAACTACCATCCCAGCCTTCATCCGTCATACAGTGGGGAGAGCCAGGCCCGCTCCTCTGGCCTCCAGCAGTACAGTGGGGCACAGACCACAGGCTGGCAGTTTTCAAGCTGAACCTGACCTCAGATGAAGCTGCTAACACTGGACTCTGGCCAGTCCAGAGTAGAATTCAGGCAGCAAGGGTTCAGACGAGGGTCTGGGCAGCAGGCCAGAGTCCAGCGGGGTCGGACACAGGCTAGGGCCCCAGCTGCGGGGCCAGCACTGGGAGCTGCTGAGCGCAGGCACCTCGGGATGGTCAGGGTTCAGCCTGGGATGCGTGTGATCCTAGGGGCCGGTGGTTCCTGACAAACCAACAGCCGGTTGGCACCAGCTGTTGAGAAGTCAGATTCCAGGGAGATCTTGGCCCTCCTTCAGCCAGGTCCACCAAAGTTTACATTCCAGAAGCCTCGGAATGCACACGGGCGAGGCTGAGCCAGCCCCTGGCCCCTTGAAATCTGCTCTCCGGCACACGTGGGCAATCCAGTTCCAGCAACGGGGGTGGTTCTGTCTCCGGACGCTGGTTCTCACCCTTTCTCCTTACCATGACCTCCGGCCCTGCGGAAGGGAATCACCTTTTGAGATGGCTGTGGGTGGAAGGCACTCCCTGAGACACTACCTGGGCTGACTGGGCCTCTCGGTTTCTGCTCTGCAGGCCAACATCGGCCAGAAGGAGGACTTCGAGGAAGCCAGGAAGAAAGCGCTGAAGCTCGGAGCCTCAAAGGTATCCAGTAGCTGCAGAGTGTCAGGGCTGAAGGCAGGCGGAGGCTAAGGTGGGGTGTTGCCATCCAAGGCGCCTTGTCCCTGCTTCTAAGAGAATGAGATGGTTACCCTCTTGCCTCCCTCCAGCACCCAGCCACCCCAACTTCCCATCCATCCATCTCTTCTCCATCTGTCCAGCCACCTGCCCATCTCCCTTTGACCTCTCTCCATAAATCCATCCATCCGTCCGTCTACCCACCCCCCTAGGCATCCTGCGTTGACTTTGAGTTTGAACTACTTAGAGAGTCGTAGGAATCTGCCAAAGCAGTACCATGGGGCGTGGGGTGGAGGGGGCGGGGTGCAGCTGGTTCGTGGGTGTGAGGACCCCCTGGGAGTGAGGAGCGATTTGGGAACCAGACAGAAGTGGCGAGGCACCGCATTGTGTGGGTGTGCTAAAGGCCGCTGAGGTGTGTTGGCTCTAAAACAGCTAGTTTCCCCTTTTGTGAATTTCACCGCCATAAAGCAAAGAGTCCTGAGACCCCGTCATTATTGCGTTAAAGGTGCCACCACGTCACTTTTGGCTCTTGGCTCTCTGTGCCCTCGGTTTTCTTGGTTGTCAACTTTACAGGAGACATCACCAGATCTCCCTCCGGAGGAACCACTGCCTGGGGCCGAACTGCCAATGTTCGTGTTAGCCTCCGAGCACAACCAGGGCCCCTGCGACCTCATTCCACTCACTGTCCCAGAGCCGATCCCAGTGCATAGGGACCCCACGTAGGGTTTCTGGAAACCATGAATGTGTCCTGGTGCAGAAACCCCCAGGGTGCAGCCGGGGGCTTTGAACCTCCAACCTTGCAGTTCGCAGCCCAGCACCCAATCCCATGAGACCCTTGGGAATTATTGGGAGGCCCCAGAGCTTTTGTGGCTTGCATCTATTTCTATTTATCATATTCTAAATGGAAGCTGACATTTAAACAATGGCAATTCACTTAGGAAGAGCAATACCATTAGGTGCTAACCGAAGCTATAGATTTGCTTCTTAAAGCTAATTATCTTCCAACACAACAATAGCAACAAACATTCATTAAGACTGGTATTGATTTACATTTCTTTCAAATCTCTCTTCATGATTGGCTGATTAGAAGATAGCTAAATTCATGTACTGTTGGCGTGGACACGTATGGAGATGTATCATGAGGGAGAAGAGGCATGTTTTAATAGCCTTTCTCAGAGAATCACACCAAAATTCAAGGCCTGGTGGCTTCTGACAGACTGGCGGACTTTAGACTCAGAACTGACCAGTGCGTTGTTTGTAGTCCGTTCCCTTAGACTCCGTTGGTTCCCTGGGCACCGTGATCGGATCTTTCACTTGTCCCTGCCTGTGTCACATCAGGCATTGATCATTTGGGAAATGTCGTTTCACTGTGTTGTGTGGATTTCCCGGGTTTTGACACATCTCCTTACACAAAATTAAAATATCGCGTTCGTTAATAACAGCACTGCTAACATGGGAAGTATTGGGAAACTGTCAAACTCACTGAGGTGGATGCAAGCCTTGTCATCTAATTTCTGCTTGAAAGCTTGGTTTTGTCATGAACAACCTATGATCTCTGTTTCTCTGGAGGGGACAGGCACGTTTCATTAAGGTTTGCGGGAATGGCTCTGGAAACCCAAGCCGGAGCCGCCCCATTTCCTCTGCTTATTGTTCTTGCAAGTACAAACCCTGCTCCACGAGGAAAGGGGCTAGTTCAGCTGGCAACTCCCAACTCCCGACTCTGGGAATCGGCTTTTTCTGCTCCCGTAAGCTCGTCTGGCAAGCTTGTGTCACAGGCCCCGGCCCAGACAGACACCGAGAACGAGAACAGAGACCGAGTGCAGTCTGGCGCCTCCAGGCTGAGCCAGGCATTTCGCCCATTGCTCTTTCATCATCTGTGTGGATGTCAACGTGGGGAAAAGGCAATTCACACGGGGGTCACACGCCGGGCTTCGATCCGCAAGGTTGGCAGCTCAAAACCACCAGCTGCTCCACAGGAGAAAGACGGGCTTTCAACTTCCGAGTTACCGTCTCAGAAACCCACAGGGGCAGTTCGACTCCATCCTGTGTGTCACTGTGGGCATCGACTTAATGGCGGTGAGGGTCGTTATAAAATCGTGTTGACCCAGTGCCTCCCTAAAAGGATCCTGGGTGTCCCTGGAGAGAGGGCAACAGGATCCTGTCTTGAGAGCAGCTCTGAATTGAGGTTTCTCAGTCTTGCTGTTGCTGCCAGTTGGTCAGCAGCCCTGTGCATTGTGGGATGTTTAGCAGTATCCTCGTCTTTCACGCTAGATTAAGGTGACCAGATGTCCCACTTTGTGCGGGACAGTCCCAATTTTTGGCAATTTTTAAAAGTCCCGATGTTTGGAAAGAATGCACAACAAGCTAGGGAATGGTCTATTTGGTCCATATAGACCAAATTTTTAATCAACACCCCCCTCCCAGTCCTGCTTTAAATTTGGTCACCTTATGCTAGCTAGATGCCAGACCATCTATCTCCCACCCCTGCCAGTTGTAACAGCCTGAAAACTACTGCTCCAGATGGCAACTAAGTTCCATCGGTACCCAGAATAATATATTGAGAGGGATTCAGGGACCAATCAGCTTCAAACAGATGGTGTGCTAGGGTTGATTAACAATGTCTGCCAAGATGACAGGAGGAAGAGACTCAGGCGCGCATGCTGGTGCTGATTAGTGATGTCTACTGCAGATACGGCAATAGAAGCAGTAGTACAGTTTGTCACTATCAACCGGCAGATCAGCTGTGTCTGCCATAGATGCAGGCCATCAAGGCCCCTAGGGTTCTGTATTCTGATTGGGTCCCCAGTTCCTGGCTGAGTAGCCTCTCTCTCACGGGCTGCTCTCCCTATAGGTGTTCATCGAGGATGTCAGCAAGGAGTTTGTGGAGGAATTCATCTGGCCTGCTGTCCAGTCCAGCGCACTGTATGAGGACCGCTACCTCCTGGGCACCTCGCTTGCAAGGCCCTGCATCGCCCGCAAGCAAGTGGAGATCGCCAAGCGGGAGGGAGCCAAGTATGTGTCTCATGGTGCCACGGGAAAGGTAAGGCGATGATTCTGGGGCAAAGGGAGCGTGGGCAGAGGGAGAAGCAGGCCGCTCTGCCGGGATCAGGCAGGCCTGCTAAGGACACAATGAGGACAATGCATATCCCCTGTGGTTTTAGGCTTTGCCTCCAGGACAGAGTCAGATGCTCAGGCTGACCGTTGTTAACATCCACATAAGAATGGTAGTTACAGCTAAGAGCTGAGCGCAGCCATGGAAGAGGCAGAGGCTCTGGACTGGGCTGTGGCTGTGTGAAGGGGGTTGAGCTCATTCTGAGAACACTAGGATTGAGGCAGCATTCCTGACCAAGAAGGGCGGTTGCCCCCCCCACCGTGGGATGCTCAGGAAGGTGCTCTGAACCATGGTGACTCCTGCAGGAGCGAGAACGAGAACGCATTTCCCTCTGAGCTTCTTTCTCATGAGCCCAGGAGCTGGGAACACATTGGGGCAGGGTAGCAGGAAACCAGATGCAAGGCTGGTGGATTTGACTGCTCAGGGCGCGTGAGTGTTGCCTCCGCTCAGGGGTCTCAGTGGAAAGGAGGTTTGGGATGCTCAGAGCTGGGCTCAGATTCTGCCTCCCCTACTTTCATGTTGTCTGACTTGGAGCAACTGACTTCACCTTTGTGAGTCTCCATTTTTTTGTCTGGGAAAGGAATACGCTGGAACGTACTGACTGATAGGCCGATTCAGGCAGGTGCTCCACACCGGACTGCAACTGGTGTAGCGTGGATGGGGGACCTGCCCTCGCTGGACGGTCACCGCTTGTTCTTGCGGGCAGAGGAAGGCCACTGGACTGGGAGGCAAATGAAAAAGCCCCCCAGCCATCTCACCTGTCTGTGATGGAGCGAGTGGGGCAGTGAGCTCCCCATTTCAAGAGGCATTCAAGCTGAGCCTAGGGGATCCATTCAGGAAGGAAGAATACTCAAAGAAAGTTGCTCGTTAGGGTACTATCAGGACTGAAAGCTTTTCGACCTGGGGGAGAGAATGCATGGGGAGGTGGGTGGGTTGTCTGGCCCTGGCTTGGGTGGCTACTCTCAAGTCTCGAACAAACTCACTGCCACCACGTAGACCCAGACTCATAGCAACCTTATTGGACAGAGTAGCACTGCCCCTGTGGGTTTCCGAGACTGTAACTCTTTACAGGAGTAGACAGTCTCATCTCTGTCCCACAAACTGGTTGATAGTTTTGAACTGCTGACCTTGTGGTTAGCAGCCCTATGAATAACCCCCTAACTCACCAGGGCTCCTCAACTCAACTCATAGCAACCCTGTAGGACCAGGTGGAACTGCCCCTGTGGGTTTCTGAGCCTCTGACTGTTTATGGGAGTAGAGAGGCTTGTCTTTCTATCGAGGAGTAGCCGGTGGTTTCAAACTGCTAACCTTGTGGTTATCAGCCCAAAATAGAATCACTAGGCCACCAGTGCTCTTAAAAAAGCAAATTAAAAACCTCATTGCCCCTCATCGTGACCCTGTAGGACAGGGTGGACCTGCCGCTGTGGGTTCTGAGACAGCGGCACTATGGGAGTAGAGAGTCTCATCTCCCACGGAGCGCCTGCTGACTTCAAACTGCTGATGTGACAGTTATCAGCCCAGTGCGGAGCCACTCGGCCACCAGGGCTGCCCTCACTGCCATCGGGTCAACGCCAATTCATAGTGACCCTGGGAGAGGGTAGCACTGCCCCCCCTGGCATTCCAAGATGGACTGTTTACAGGAGTAGAAAGCCCCGTCTTTGCCCTACAGAGCTGCTGGTGGTTTCGAACTGCTGACCTTGAGCTCAGCCCAACTCGTAACCACTTGGCCACCAGGGCTCCTTCCAGGGCTCCCCTTCTCCAAAAGGAGACTCCCCTGCAGTGCAGTTGGGAGAAGCGTGTGTGTTATACCTCCATGTAGCCACCAGAGGGCACCAGAGACCCGTATGTGAGGCCGCCGCGCTTCTGCCATCCCCAATGGAAGAGGCTGGAGGTGGCTCTTGGAGGCTTCCTGCGGCTGCTGGGGCTTGTCCTTGCAGCGCCTACTCTAGCAGTGGGACCATCAGACTAGGACACATCAGCTCGGGGGGCCTGACAGACCAGTGGTGGGAAGGCCACAGTGGCTGGGGAGCCCAGTTCTGCCCTGGTTCTGGCGTTTTCTTGGGGTGGTTGTCTCCACGGCTGGCCTTGCATAAGTGTCTGCAAGGGACAGAGCGAGTGATGGGGAGAGCAGCCCCAGGCACTAGGGTGCGAGCAGTTGGGGTGCTCCCCCACACCCACCCCCCGCGCTGCAGAGGAGGCGCAGCAAAGCCTCTGAGACAATGCCAGCCCTCAGATTAGCCCCTGAGCCAGGCGGTGGTGGGAGCCAGCCCCACCCCCAGGGTCCTGGTGCCAGCCACACAGACATAGCCTCTATTCAGGGGTCCCTGAGGGAGACAGGCCTGGTGGAGGTCCTTGGGCATTAGGGGCTTCGGGAGACATTCGGGAAGAGAGAGGGTGCTAGTAATTGGTGCTCACTCAGAAAGGGCCTTCCAGTTCGCAGGGTTACAATCACAAGAGACCTCCTGCCCAAGTACCCCAAGCACAGGCAGCACCTAGTGCAGAGAACACCACCCACTGTGCTGTGCCCCCCCCTCACAGAAAGGCCCAGACACTGGGGGGGGTGGTTCATCCAGGCCCCTGCCTGCTCCCCAGATTTGGAAAACAGACCCAGAAATATGAGCCCGAGACCCCGGCGGGGCGAGCTTTGTAAATGGCACCATCTGTATGGCTGTCCCCGGAGCAGATGGGAGGACCGGGCCACCACCCCACCTCATCCCACCCCCACCCCCACCGGCAGCCCCTCCGTTCTGGTGGGTGCCGTACCACATTTACATGTGTCAGCATGTGGATATACATGTGGGTGGGGGGTGCACTACATCACCCCTCTCGGTTGCCCCAGGGGCTTCCCCTGAGGGTGACGGCACTAGGAGTAAGAAGGGCGGGGTAGGACCCTTCCCTCCTGGCTGTAGGGCAGAGTCTGAACCAAAGGGGTCTGTCTGTTTGGCATCTGCGAGGGTCTCCGAGTCCCGAACAGATGGGTGTCCCCATGACGGGCCTGAGGAGGCACAAGGCGCTTTTGTGTGGGGGAAACATGAAGCCCTGGGGGAGGGGGTGGGAAAGACTTTAAGGAGAAATAGCGGAGTTGCCGTCTTTGACCACGAGCTCTACAAAGCCAGCGCACGTCTGCTTTTTCGGACCGCAGCCCCTGCAGCAGCAACTGCTGGCCAGGGGTCAAGCATCATCGGCCCATGCCCATCCCTGAGATGGGGATAATGGAAGCACCCTCAGGGGCCATCCGGTGGGTCACTACTCTCAGAGCTCAGACCACTGACCCCAGGGTGGGCTCTGAGGACGGCCCTGCTGTGGGAGGCAGATGACCTTGGCCCTCTGAGCCCCAGCAAGGTTGACTGTCCGCTGGCCCCGGCCACACTCATACTGCCTTGGCTCTGTCTGTGGCTCCAGCTCTGGCGAGAGGGGCTGAAACCAGTATTTCCTAGTCTCCTGACAAGACTCTGGAAAATGACATGTTATTCCCGCCGCTGCCTGGCTGCGCCCGTGCAGTTTTCACAGTAGGCGGAAGGTCCCTCTGTTATTTCCGCAGCGCTGGAAGTCTCCCTCCGGCGCTCAGCACGTGGGGAGCAGGCAGGATGCTGGCCGCCATTTTCACGCTGGCTACCGAGCAGGCCGGCTGGTGCTGGTGCTGCTGGGGGACACGGGGGGTGCCCTCTGGCCCTCCTTCCCTCTTGAGTCCCCAGCATAGGCAGTGTGCTCCCACAGATGCCTTAGCCCATATTCACATCTCAGTGGGGTGCAGGACTTAGTCTTCAATTACAGCCAGCCGCAGGTGCAGAGAGGCAGGGTGGCTTATGGGGGCGCAGAGCGGCCCTGGACATCTGATCAGCTCTGTGCCCGTGGGCAGGTCCCTCTCTTTCTCTGGGCCTCAGTTTCCAAGTCTGAGAAGGGAGGAGATGGCAAACAAAGCGCCCCTCAACCAGCCTCTGTACCCCGGAGGAAGCTAAGGCTCAGAGAAGCAGCCACCCACTGCCTCCCAGTCCACCACGACTCCCTGCATGGCAGAATCACCCCAAGGGTCTCCCAGGGAGAAGCAGTCAGGTCTTCTGCAGTCTGGCAGAGGTGTGGCCAGGCCTAGCAAGTGGGTGCTGAGGGGCAAGGGCTGCCCAGAAAAGGGGCGGAGCTGGGTCCCTCAGGACTCCTGACGCCTGGAGGCTGGCAGTGCCCAGACTCCCAGCCTCAAGGCAGAGGTAGAGCTGCAGAAAATAAGGCCTCAGGCAATTAGCTTCCAATTGCTGAGTGATCTCCCAGCTGGCCATGCAGGCTGCCTGGGGTGAATAGAAGAAACTGCTCATCGAGCCTCCCCTCAAGTGGCGCCTAGGGCACGTGCCTAGCCTGCTGTGCATGCCCTAAAGAGGCCTTTGCCCCAGGGGAGGAATAGGTGTGTGCACACCCCTGCACTCTCCCACATGCACGCCTGGTCACATCCACCAAGACACTGGCGCCCATATTCCTCCACGAATCCTCGAGCGCGCACCCACTACAGACGCATGTGCTTGCTAGCCTTGGCCTGGTGTTTATGCATGGACACACCCCAGCATGCTCCCAGATGTGCACAGCCCACCCACCCCATCCCCACATGCCCGCACAAGTCCACATGTGCACACTTACGGCATTCCTAAGCCCCGTGCACAGCCCCATCCTACCCCCCCCACACACACACACATAGCCACACAAGCCCACCTGTACACCTTGCCACAAACCCACTCGGCACACATGCTGGGCACAGAGGTGGGCTGTGCTGCACGGGTGGCGTGGCTCAAGACACAGGAAGCCCTGGGGTCCAGTCCTGACGGCCCCTGTGGGCTGGGACCTCGTTAGTCAGCCTTTCCAGGAAAGCCTGTCTGTGACACAGGCTGAGAGTGCCCCACCCCACTCTAGCAGGTGTGAGAGTGAGTGGGAGGCGCAGCTGCATTGGCTCGCCAGCCTGATCAGTCCGCTGTGGGGTTTGCCGTCAATGGTGTGTGCACCCCCCTGTTCTGTGGCCCCTGACAGCCTGTCCTGTTTCAGGGGAATGACCAGGTCCGGTTTGAGCTCACCTGCTACTCCCTGGCCCCCCAGATTAAGGTAAGAGGTTTCCCTTCTCCTTCAGGCATGGGTGCTGGGGCCTGAGACCTCTGGGAGGCTGCCGAGGCTCTAGGAGGCCCCACAGGAGGGGCAGCGCACACCTGAATCTTCTCCCAGGGTGAGTGGTGCCCGTCTTTCCCATGGCACGATGGGAGGCTGGATTCAAGAGTGTCCGGAAGGGCCGTTCCCAGGGAGGCTCCTTTACTCGTGTCTGCTGCAGAGAGCAGCATCTTCCCAGGGTGGCTGTCCGGCCATCTGGGGGGCTCTGGGCACTGAAGTAAAGGGCAGCGATGTCCTTAACTTCCCCCAATCTGGACTTCTGGGTGTAGGCCAGCAGAGTGCAGGGAGGCAGTCAGTCTGAGGTCATGGTCCCACCTCCACTCTGAGCTGCAAGGCTCCTCCCTGGCTGCCTCTGCCCTGCCCCCAACCTCGGATCCTTTCCTGGGATGAGAGTCACCAGGACCTCTTACCACCGCATGCCCTCCAGGAGTGAGAGCCCATGTTGGGACTGTCCCTGCTGTCCGACATTTGTCTAAACTGTAACTCTTTACAGGAGTAGAAAGCCCGATCTTTCTCCCAGTACATACATACATTCACCTATCCACCCACCTTTCCATCTGTCTATCCACCCATTCACCCACCCACTGATTCACCCATCCATTTACCCACCCATCCACCTATCCATCCACCAATTCACCCATCCATCTACCTATCCATCCACCTATTCACCCACCCATCCACCTATTCATCCATCCATCCACCTATCCATCCACCTATTCACCCATCCATCCACCTATCCATCCACCCATTCACCCATCTATCCACCTATCCATCCACCCATTCACCTATTCATCCACCCATTCACCCATCCATCTACCTATCCATCCACTCATCTATCTACCCATTCACCTATCCATACACCTATCCATCCACTCATCTATCTATCCATCCACCCATCCATCCACCTATCCACCTACCCATCCGTCCATTTATTCACCCACCCATCCGTCCACTTATTCACCCACCCATCCACCTTTTCATGCATCCATTCATCTACCCATTCACCCATCCATCCACCTATCCATCCACCCATCCATCCACCTGTCCACCCACCCATTCACCCATCCATCCACCTATCTATCCACCCATTCACCCATCCATCCATCCATCCATCCATCCATCCATCCATCCATCCATCCATC